AAGTCCTTGCGTAAAGAGGGGGGCCATTGTACGTATGCACGTGAAGGAAAAAATAATTTCTGATTGGTTAATCCCAAGTTTGCATCAGTTGTTCACATGCTAGCAGCCAAAGTTCGATATTTATCAGATATTTTGTAATATTAACAGGGCTAGAAAATGGTTCCCTTGTTCTGCCAAGGTATTTGGACCTTGTACGTACCTGGTACGGATTAATTGTTGTGATGCAGATGCGTTGGCAGACTGAAAACACCCTCGGGCAGATACAGCCTTCAGAACATATTACTCCATTAACCGCAATTTATAGCTTTGCTTAAATTGATTATATAACAGAACATCAATCTAAATTGTACAGGCTTCATACTTAACCATATATGATAATCAAGTAACTAGTCATTAATCTCACAAAACTTAGCCATATAAGGTAATCGAGTAACAACCGTGTGACACCCACACACATCTCCTCTATATGGTAAATGACCTAAATTTAATCTACAGACAATTTTTTCAACGTTTATTCATCACAATGTGCTCACTGCAACAACATTTTCTGACATTCTTGGACTATCATGGTACGACTGTGGCAGACCCGATGGTGTACAATTATATGCTTATGTTCACAGACTTCTACAAATTCAAAAACGATGCAAACCTAAATTACGAGCTAGCATTCATATGATGGAACTAGCAGAACACAAAAACTCGATCATCCACAGCCGTCGTTCCATACACAACCAAAACATTGCCTGAGAAACCAACTGCATGAAATTCCAATACACCCCAACACCGAAAACAACAACAATGGAAGTGGATGCACAAGCTGCCCAAGCCATCGATCAGCTGATATCTAATTACCTTGGGCCAAATGATCTTATCAAAGAGTTACCTGACCTCAACGGCGAAGCAATTCCCCCACCACGGCCACTCCCCCACCACCATCCCCAAAACAATTACAAGTGCCGATATCACCACCACTAACCCCCGGCCAGAAAAACATTCAAGTGATGAAGGAAATTCATGCAGCCAACCAAAAACCACCAAACAAACGTCAATGTGTAGCGAACATTCCGCCACAAGCCCACAAAAACAAACGAAGAAATGAAACACTCACTCTCGAAAATCACAAACGAAGATCAAGACCAAGACAAGATAACGTCCCAAGAGTTAGTCTTGTATGCAATGGATGGGAGTGAGAAAAAGAAAAAAACAATACTAACATGTAGCAAAGAAAAAATCTCTATAATATGAAACACTATAGTTGTTATGAGTATCTTACTGACCACCAAAAAAAGCACTAGATCTTATTAAAGAGCAGAAAGACATATTGGAAAAAATCCTGTATATGGAAAAAATGCTAGAAGACAACATTTTTGGCAAAAAAAATGTAAACGACTAAATAACTAAGTATTTTTAATAAATAATTTTTTTCAACCTAAACTAAAAAAATGATATTTCTATACACAACCTTAAACGACCACTCATTATCCCTCACTAAATTACTCTAATGATATATCCCTCATTATCCCTCACTAAATTATCCTAATCCATCATTATCCCTCACTAAATGATCTTAAGGGGGGACTTAACCTAAATTTGGATCAAGGTACCAAAAAAAAATTTTTTTGAAAATCTTATACCTCACGCATAGAAGAATACTGTGAAAAGTGTTTAGTAATGGAATTTGCACTATTCCGTTGTCTTTTGTGCATTTTAAAAAACTCGTAGTCTGGTTGCCATGGATACACAATGAATAATTTACTTGTTTATCCACGAAATTTCGCCTAAAACAGACAAATATGTTCGGAAAAAAGGGGGAAATTATTGTAAATATGAGTGACTATATATTGCATATTACATGACGTACATCACCTGTTTCTAAGCCCGCATTTACTCATGGGAAAACGTGTCACAGCATTTACATATATACTGGACAAGAAGTCATCGAATAGAGAATTTTTAGCAACAAAATTTAAGCTTAAAATGACAGTACAGAAAGAAAAGAAAGGGAAATGCTTTTGCTGGAGTTCAAAAACATGCTAAAAAAGTAAGGAAAACATCGCTGAAAGAATCTGAAATCACACAGTCAACACCGAGTTCAGCATGCGGTCAATCATCGTCAAGTTCCAAATGTGATAAACCGATAAGTGCATCCCGACTGAAAATGAGGCCACAAAACTCTTCAGATTGTCCCTCAAACAGTTTGGATGATGGAGAAACTGTTCAGAGCGAGGCATACAGACTTGTAGACCTGAAGAAATTGTCATCAACTCTGTCAGAAGCCCACGTATGTGATGAAGGTAAGAACTCTGGGAAACAAAACACTGTTTGCTCAGTACAAATGATGTTGTATGGCAAAATGTGTGTTGTAGTTGAATTTGGTTTACTTTTTTATTCGAAATTTTCAAGGTTTGTAAACATTTTGATTGCATCTGTCTAGCATGCTTGTAACAGTTTGTTTATATGCCAATTTAAAATTGGAAATTTTTGTAAATGCATATGTTATGGAATGTGGTTTTAATTTTCAATGTTATTGCATCCTAGGTCATTTAAATTTGAAAGAAAATTCATCAATGAGAAGTGGATTGATGTCTGACCTTTCTGTTGAATGTAGCTCGTGCTCCGAGGCTACATCACTGAAAACATCATCTTCTGTAACCAATCAAGGGCAATCATTTGATGTGAACCGACGTGCTGTTTACCATTCTTTGGAGACAGGTGGTGGCTATGAAGGGCTTGTTTCATTTTGTAGTATCATGAATATGCCCTGTATTTCATCTGCTGCGTACTACAAACTAGTTGACACCATACTTGTGGCTCAAGAAGCTGAAGCCAAGGATGAAATGCAACAGGCAAGTCAATGACTTCGAGATTATATCTTCAAAGAAAATGGAGAGAAAAATTGTGATGATGTTGTTGTCGATGTAGCTGTTTCCTTTGATGGGACATGGGCCAAAAGAGGGTTTACTTCCTTAACTGGGGTAGTCTTTGTACTAGCTGTAGATACTGGAGAAGTTCTTGACTACCATGTACTCTCCAAAGAATGCCGTAAATGTACAATGAAGAAAAGCCGATGTAAAACTGATAAGGAGTTTGAAGAATGGCAGATTGAACATATATCCTCCAATCAGTGTGATATCAATTTTACAGGCAGCTCACCTGCAATGGAGGCTGAAGGTGCTAAAATATTGTGGAGCAGGTCTGTGGAACTTCACAAAATTCGGTACAAGTGGATGGTTTGTGACGGCGACAGTAAAGCCCATGCTGCTGTTGAGGATACATATGATGAATGCAAGGTTGAAAAGTTAGACTGTGTAGGACATGTACAGAAGAGAATGGGAAAACATCTGATGAATCTTAAGTCAACTACCAAGGGCAAGCTTGCTGATGGCAAATCTATCGGAGGACAAGGCCGCCTGACAGAGGTCAGGATCAAGCGCATCCAAAGATACTACGGACTTGCTATAAGACAAAATACTTTAAAAAAGGCACACCCAACTGAAAATGAAGTTAATGTTGCTGTGTACACCATGAAGAAAAATATTATAGCTATCCTTCATCACTCCATTCAGTCTAAAGACCTCGCTAAACAACATCGCTTTTGTCCTGTTGGAGAGTCTTCATGGTGCAAATGGCAACAAGACATTGCTACTGGAACGAAGACCTACAAGCCGGATGATTGTCTACCAGGAGTGTTCTGTGATTTGTTGAGCCCAACTTTTATGACATTGAGTGAGAGCAAGCTTCTTGAGCGATGTGTGCGTGGTGCCACACAAAATCACAATGAGTGTATCAATGCACTGGTATGGGCTCGCTGTCCGAAGAACAAGCACCATGGTGCCAAATCTGTCCGTTGTGCTGTAGCCTCTTCCGTCTGTCACTTTCACAGTGGGGCATCTTCTAAAGTAAGGGTGATGGAAAGACTTTCCATCCCAGCTGGAGTCTTTACCAAACAGGCATCAGCAAGACAGGACAAAAGGCGTATCAGGAAAGCAGATAGACAGACAACTGATAAGGCTAAGAGACAACGACAAGGAGTCCAGTTGCTGCGAACTCGCCGTGAAGAAGCCCTGCGGGAAGCCGAGGGAGTGATGTATGAAGCAGGAGCCTTTTAACATTTTCAAATTACAAAAATATACAGTTTATGGGGTACAGTTTTATGCAATTTTAGAACACTTAGGGCCATTTACAACCTTGTACATTTGCATGCTATCTTTCGATCCATTTTTCTCGGAATATGCTTTTTGCGACTTTGAGTAAGGATATCTTGAGACCAATATAACCGATTGACTTTCAATATTAATTGCTTGCACAGAGTTTTTGGTAATGAGCATAGGATTTTTGTGTGTGGTATTTGCATCAAAAGATATGGAAAAAATTCTGACAAAAATAGCAGGTAAAAATTTAGGTATAATTCACATGGCTGCAGACACAAAAGTATTCAGAATTTTGAAAAGTTCTATGCTCATTACCATAAATAACCTTTCTGCTTTAGATTAATGGAAAAAAATTCAAATTCCATCATATCTGAGGCAAGATATCTTTACTCAAGTAGTTTGTAGTAGCATGGAGTGTCAAATTACAATGTTTGATCAGTATCAGGTTACAAATTAACTATGTGCAAAAATAAATCTTAGAACTAGATTCTATGACTTATAAGCTTTCTGCTGATAGTTAGTTTTGTATGGTTTGCATTAAAACCCTTGCTGTTATGAGACATTGTTTCAAGGACACCATTTTTAGGTAAAGTCCCCCCTTAATTATCCCTCACTAAATTATCCTAATTATCCCCCTGTGCCGTGTTCCCATTGGTCCATACATGAACCAATCACAACGCACGACCATGACATCACCACACGAACCATAAAATGGTGCGCATTTTCAAATCCTAATCAGTACAGTTGACCGAGGCTTTGGGTTCGGACGTGCCCATCAACCGTCGCTATAGCGACAAGTCGGATGTGGGAACTGTGAAGAAATTAACATATTTCATGCATCTCATTAAATCCCTGCTCTGTGATTCGCTAAAATCCATACATTCCTGAATCCACATGGCCAATAGAGTTCCCCCCCATCCATACAGCCATAGCTAACGCCCTGACACACCCTTTCCACAAGACTCACACAATACTATTTCCTATTAATTTCTTCTTGGTTCCCACACCCCCCATTCTTTTTATTGATATTCTATACTACACTACTAGTATACATAAAGTGCGAGCCATGTGTAATAAATAAATACTAGGTTACCTAAAATGTAGTAAATGCTGCCTTTACAGTGCGTCTACAGTAAGTGGGGCCACTTACAGAACACTAACCAATCACATTGAAGAACACAAATTGAAAAAATCAACAAACGGCGCATTAGGCAATCAGCATTAGGCCAAAAACAATTTGAACAAATAAACGAATGTCAAACGGTAAAAATAGACTTGTAAAAGTAAACACTGCAGTTAATGGCTTCCTGAATCTTTCTTTTGATTGGACGAGCTTTAGTTTGATTAGATTTTTCTTTCTGTTCTGCAATGCGATTGGTTAGTGTTCTCCAAGTGGCCCCACTTACAGTAGATGCACTGTAAGAAGTAAATTTATAGAAAGATAAAGGCTACATCAAGGAAACACACAATATGCACAAGTAAACGGAGCCAGAGAAAAAAAATTCAACAATATATTAACAGTGCATGACTTTAACAGTAAAGACTAACTGTTCAAACTACAAAATGTTTGTTTAAACTATCTTGAACTGGAACACAACGGAACAGAAAATAAGTTAATAAGTGTTTTTTTGACAGCCTTACTAGTCAAATTATTAACATTTTTTGGCTACTGCAACAACATTGTTTTTGGTGTTGAAGTAAATAATTGCTTCAACTGTCAAGATCATCTCCATTATGTTATCGTCATCAAAACTTGAAAATTCTGGTTGCGAACCATTTTGTTCCACATAAAGTTTGTATAACTCGCGTATTTTATCATCGAAGAGCATGAGGGACTTGGTGGAACCTTCTGATGGAAAGATAACACTTGCTAACAACCGCTGTTTGGATTTACTCTTTAGTTGGGCAAGTCCACACTCACTACATTTCACAATATTCTTGTCAGGTATGGGTGCCAATTTTGAATGACACTTGTTGCTTGAAAGGAATCTCCTGATCGATTGAACACCATCTGCTGGACAGAAGACTTTGGCCAAGCCCAAGTTGTTATCTGTAGATTGCTCATCTTCCCTCTCAATGGTAGCAAATGATTCTACTATAACAGATTGCTTGTTCAAAGAGAGGTAGTTGGTTTGGTTATATTGACGTACCGTGACACTGGACAATTCGTACGAATTTCCCGTTGCAATCTTATCGATATCAGTTTCCCACAACACAAATCTTGCTGACGCCGTGTTATCAGTGAGTAAAGTCTCTTGTTTCCTCAGCGTTTTTCCTTTGGAAAAGACCGTCTCTTCAGGGCCTTGGAAGGTGATTCGACCAGAAACATCCACTTTAAGATTCGGTGGTCCTATAAGTGCTTCATGTACCGTCGATTGGACGCTCTTTTCTTGCTTAGCCGGTTCAAGTTGTTTTATGTCAAAATTGATCTCGTTGCGGTCTGGTTCTAACAATCGTGTCCGTTTGTTGATGTGTACTTCATCCTGGTCACTCCGACTGTTTCTTTTCAGGTGGTACTTGGTTAACTTGATTGGGGAAGACGACTCGCACATACTTTTACATTGCTGGTGCTTTTCGGGCGAAAAACACACTGCTCTGTACAGTTTATCTTCTGTTTGTAGAGACATATCGAAATACAAATTATTTCGTTGACTTGTCTTTATTTCTGACAGGTTGTGAACATAACCTACTAAGACACCGCCTGAAAAACAACAAAGCAAACTATTATGAGGCTGTGAAAGTATTCTATATGAAAACGTATGCAGTGCAACACATATTTACAAACATGTCTAATGACATGAAATAGTTGTTAAGTTGCACTTCCTGATGCTAATGGTGTAATTCCGATAATGGTGTGATGTACTCTAATGAAACATACTTACTGTCATTGTTGTCTTCTGTCTTTATTTCTTCACCTAAGTCAGAAGAGATATATTCGCTATATTGGCAATTTTTTTAATAGTCAGGAACTTCCTGACAATGACTTGTGCTCGATGAAACACCACTCATGGTGACATAGAACCAACGTAAAAACATTTTTTTATCTTCCCTAAATTTTCTGTACAGTGCACTCCCTCCCTCAAAAAACAAACAAACCCAAAAAAACAAATACAAACGTTACCTTTCAAGTCAGTCATTTTAATATTGTACAACACACTAAAAACGAGAAAAATTTAAACAAAATAAATATCGGTACTACATACTGTACTACCAACCTTGAAAGCAAGAAATTCGCCGACTAGTTTATGTCTGAGATTGTACAGAAAGTAATTCTAAGCGTTTTTCTTCATTCAATCTATAACGAAGCATTTCCTTTTTCTTAATTTCCAAAAGTCTTTGAAATGTTATTGGTTCAATGACCAGTGATGAAAGATTTCGAACCCTACTTACTTATTGCTACATATGTTAACCCAAGAGTAGTTTCTTTTTTCCCAATATCAATCCATGCCTTATCTAATGTTAAACCTTGACTTTTATGAATTGTTAGGGCCCAGGCAAGTCTAAGAGGTATTTGTTGTCTTTCATGTACTGAATTACATGCATTTATACTGGCTGTTATCGGTGGAATTGGAACACAATTTGGTATAGTAGAGAACGAAGGACCAGTATAGTCATCAAATTTAACAATTACAGCAATAGGTAAATCTGGAGGTTGATGATTAGTGGCATAAATTATATCCAGAACAACTCCTGCTGTTCCATTACAAAGACCAACTGATGGCCATAGATTCATTGTTAACATAACACGAGCACCTTTACAAATATACAGTACTGCTTGTAAACCAAGCATATCTTGAGAGCTAATACACTTGGCCTTGTTACTTGAATGTCTGGCATGTATTGTCGCAACTGGTTTTTGTAAATTAAGTAAGTGTTCATAATTGTACTTTGCTACTTGTTCATTACTGTAGTATAACCTTATTGCATTTTCAAAATCATCAAGATTTTTAACACGACTCGGCTGTCTAGTCAACAGAAGGTTCCAGTCATCACAAGTGGAATCACCATTTCGAAGTCGTGATAAAAGTCCTCTAAATATGGCTTGATCCGATTGAGAACCATTTACTCTCTGATTATGTTTAAGAATTACAACTTTTTCAAACATCATATAAGCATAATATCCTTGTTGCCCTAAACTGTTCGATGGTTTGGAGTAGTACAATGGTTTGTCACAAACCGGAGGCAATTGACCAGGATCGCCAATCAAAATAATTGATTTGCCACCAAACAACTGATCTTTGACTCCCGTGGCTTGTCTACAACGCCTATCTATCCAACCCATTGATGTTTGACCAAGCATGGAGTATTCATCGATGAGTATATAATCAATAGTTGACATTTTATCTTGCAACATGCAAAGACTTTGGCCCGACAAATCTTTTTGAGGCATACAAGCAACTGGAAGTCTTAAAAAGGAATGAATTGTCACACCATTGATAAGGTAGGCGGCTTTACCAGTTGTTGCTGTTACAACACATCTATTTTTCAAGAAGCTATGAATTGCATGTATGAGGTAGCTTTTCCCAGTCCCTCCAAAACCAATTATTATTAGCGATAGAGGTTGCTTAGATCCAATGGTTTTTGAATGCTCAACAATCATGTCATATGCATTCTTTTGCTCCTCATTTAAACTATTTGTGTCAATTTAACAATCTAATTTATTAACTGGAACGGGCTGGTCTTTTTTCATTTTAATCCAATTCGGCATTTCCCCTATTTGCTGTTCAGTATACTTTGTACAATCTAATTGCCAATTGCATGAGTTTTCGTCCAGGTTTTGTGAATTGAAATGACTATTGGAGTTATGGTAATCTGAAAGTATCATCCGTTCCTCCTGAATGTTGTTCATTTTCTACATGTTGATCGTTAGAAAGTTCAATGTTATGTAAAACATTTTGAAGCCTTTCTGCCCATTGCGGAACATGTTCTTTGGCAAATGACGTATTCAAGTAGTCATGCCATGCTATAATAAAAGTACTGTCACTTGTTTCAGCACTTCCCCATGCATCATGTTGAGAATCTTTCCATGGCTTGTACTTAAGTAATTGGTATTTGCAAAACAGAGCATAATTGTCACCTTTCGGATTAGATGAGTAGTTTGGGAATATTCTAGGGACCACATTGCAGGTTTGTTTTGCGAGAGAATTCTTCTTCACTGTATAGTTAGTAGCAAAATCAACAAGATTGACACTCATTATATCAGGAAAGACATTTTTGAATTTAATACGATTTGCATATACATCTAATAATGAGTTCTTTGTGCAAAGTTCTGTGTCTACAACATTAACTTCTACCCTACGTGAGCCGTTTAAGTTCACTGGCAATACTTGAAATGATGTGCTATGTAATTTTAATGACAGTAATAGATGCATTGTTTCCTGGGCACTGAAATCTCTATCACCAAATGTTCTAATTAAAACTTTTTTCATAGCTTTTTGGGGATCTGAATCTGGCTTTACATTTTTCATGATTGCATTGAAGGTGTCTTTTAACATTGGTGATCTAGGTTCACCTTTGGCAGCATACTTACAGAGATACTCTATGCATGCATGATAATCAATGATAACTTGGATATCACAATTACCTCTCCACCCCTGAAGTTGAATTCTTTGATGGTTATTCAATCTAGGATCATTCCGTTTGGTTACTATATTAGCTTTATATTGAACAGATTTGTCTTTAGTGTGAATTTGTTCAAAATTTAGACTTGTTTTTGAACAGAGATCAAAAGGAAATTTAAAGCGACAGTGAAGATTTTCATTATCTTTGCTGTGCTTCAGACAATATTTCGTGCTACAGTGTGTGTGACGCTGAACTGTGTTTAGAAGATCAGCATAATCACTATCAATATCACTAACATCCTGGTAGCGTTTCTTACATGGATGTATATCAGGCTTTGTCCATGCGTTGTTCTGAGGTGGAAGTGGGTTCCAAGTTGAAACAATAGAGTCAACATAATCACATATTTGCCTAGTAGCTTTGTTACCCTGTTCAATATCAAGTAAGATATTTTCGTCCTTGCTAGTATCTGCACATTTTTCAGCTAAAAACCCTTTTAAAGCAATTTCAGAAAGATTACATAACCCTGGATCACTTTTCAATTTGGCAGTGCCATGACAATGGATGCTCCCTCTTGCTTGAAATTCATACCTATACCAATGCCATTCCGCATCTAAGGTATCATACAACCAGTGCTTAAGAAAACTTTCTAAACGTTTAGTGAAAAACCAGTCAACTAAATGTGGATTGTTAATAACATTTTTTCGTCTTTCTTCTGATGTTGGATTAGGAACGGAAGAGTTCAAAAGCATGTGCAGCTCAGGCCAATGCATGTCAGCTGAGGAAAAAGTAAAGAAAATAGTAGGAGCACCCTTACAAGCAATAATTGCCTTTAAATCCTCTCGAACTTTGTACCAGTATGCAGAGCTTCCTGTGATGTTGCTTACATATCTAGAACGTTTTGACATAAAAGCACCTGAGCTGTCATTAGATGCCATATCTCGAAGTTCATTTATTGTAAGATGAGATTCTTCGGGATTTTGTTTGAGAAAAATAGCACTTTGCTGTAACATTCTTTTTCTTTGAATCATATCAAGGGCCCAATATGAAAATCTAGGGTGAGATGCAAATCTATAAATCCACTTTTCATCAACGTACTCAGCAAATTTTATGAGATGTTGTATTTTATTAGATAGGCTGATTTCTCTAAATAATGCAGGGTTAGTTGGATCACCCTTCCCATCTGGAAACAAACATGGAAATGCCATTGTAGCCAAAAAAGGTGTGTTATATTCATTAAGGGGCTGATCTCCCACATCAGGCCAGTCAATTTTAGCACCTAATCTGTTTTGTATTGCATCATGCTCAAGTTGTTCATTGATACTCTGCGGAAGAAAAGAACTTGTTTCTGTTTTCTCATCAAATACATCGTCTTCATTCTCAACACAGATATTGTCAACAGTTTCATGCAGAACATTTTGATCACCACTTTGGCTAATCACTTCATCACTAATTTCCTCTGGATCTGATTCTGTTTCAATAACTTGTAGGTTATGTGGAATGCCATTTACTGGGAAAGTGTCAAGCAAATCTATGTCAATTTTTACATCATGATAGTGAGGATTATGTTTTATCAACCATTGCAATGCTTGTTCAACCTTATTTTTCCTTACAACAACATCTTTGAATGTGTTATCTTTGCCTTTCATGGTTACAACAACTACAGGTATATCTTTAGGACACCGTGGCAATGATTTAGCTAGGTCTGTAACTTTTTGAGGCAAATTTATGCAATGCCCAGAATAACCTCTTTGACCCCCTGGTTTGATATAAACTTTCATAATGGGGAGAGCTCGGGCAATTAACATTTCTTCTATTTGTGTTAGACCTTGTAATACCTCAGGAACACAAGAAGGAATCATAAAATTATCTGAAGAAAACAATTTTGGAGATTGCTTATCTAAAGAGCACCTACGGCATATGTAACTGGAGGGGGATTTGGGTTTTGTTTTTAATGGCCATGCTTCTTGACATATTCTACACTGATAAACCATGAAATTCATTGACTTGTGAAACTTATTGATATTTGTGCCAGGATTTTTTAAAATATCGCTATAGTTATTTGATTTATAAATCTTTGTTTTGAGTTGCTCATGTAATATTGGTCTTCCATTGGACTTGCATGCAGAATCAACTGAAACCAGGTTATCAATCTTACCATACTTGTGTCACCATTTTTCAAAGCATTGGCATGGCTACAATTTTCAGTCAGTTTCGATTCAGTGGCCTTTTTTTGCTCATGCATGTCTGGTTTTAAAACTTTGGTAAATTTAAGTTTTTTCGTAATAGGCATAGTACCCTCTAAATCACTTGCTTGTTCCCCTATTTTCCTTTTACTACCAGAACAGTTACTTGATGTAGATTTTGTGTCCGAAAGAACATCAAGAACAATATCATAATGTACACCATTACTATGACGGATGTAAATTGCACCAACATTTTTTGGGCAAGAGCCACCTAGCATAGATTTAGAAAATTTGTGCCACTTATACAAACTACCAACTTGTGTATAAACATAGATATCTGTGTCTAGCAATGATGCAGCTGCTAACAGTTCAATATCTGTTCCCCAAACACCTTCATTTTCCATTTTACTCTGAGCTAAATACATATCTACACTCATATTTATATGTGGTCGTAATGAATCTTCTATTTCCCTCATGTGATTAACTATTTTTTGTCTGATTTGTTTGTGATAAACTTGTCGTCCTGTTATAGCATATGACAATGCACGAAATAGACAATTACCATCACCTACTATATTTTGAACACGAAAAGGCAAATGCAGAGCTTTTTCAGAAGTAAATTTGTGTTTAACAACAAGTGGCAAACTAAGTAACAAACACATGAATTTTTGAGACTCTTCACTAATGGGCCTGAAATATTTATGGCTTTCTGATTGCATTTGATCAGTTTGATTTTGAAATGAAAGGTCTGGTACAAAAATATTTCCATTAGCCAAATAATTTATTTTGCTGTTTTCACTTGAATCACTTGTGCCTGCACTTACATCAAGAACAATATCATAATGTACACCATTGCTATGATGGATGTAAATTGCACCAACATTTTTTGGGCAAGAGCCACCTAGCATAGATTTAGAAAATTTGTGCCACTTATACAAACTACTAACTTGTGTATAAACATAGATATCTGTGTCTAGCAATGATGCAGCTGCTAACAGTTCAATATCTGTTCCCCAAACACCTTCATTTTCCATTTTACTCTGAGCTAAATACATATCTACGCTCATATTTATATGTGGTCGTAATGAATCTTCTATTTCCCTCATGTGATTAACTATTTTTTGTCTGATTTGTTTGTGATAAACTTGTCGTCCTGTTACAGCATATGACAATGCACGAAATAGACAATTACCATCACCTACTATATTGTATAGTTTAGAAGGATATTCCAGTATCTTTGTTTCCTGAGATGATTTATCTTTTACAATCAATGGTAAATCAAGGAGGCAACACATGAAATCTTGACATTTCTCATCAATATGTGTGAAGTAAAAACTGTTACTCAATTCATTTGACACAGACATTGCAAGCATTAAGCATTCAATTCAAGTAAAACACAAGTGGATCAGTATTAATAAACGAGTAGTTGTCAACACCACACAGACAGTCGAGGCGTGAGTATACACCAGAGAATCGAGGCGTGAATACACCAGAAACGAGGCGTATAAAAAAACACGCCAAAAAGTTTTAAAATACTAATACTGTCGAATACACCATAAAGCGCCAGAGAAAACACCAGAAACGTGGCGCAAGAAACACGCCAAAAACGTTTTAAAATACTGTGGGTTCAAAATGTATATGTGTTATCGCATATACGAAATTTATCAAATATGCAAATACAAAATTTGAAGCCTAAACTACAAAACAGTAAAATTGAAAAGCTGTGACTTAATAAAAACAGTATGCTGATCAATAAAAACAATATGCCGATCGAATATGTTAATAATGTTTACTATGTGAGGTTTACTATATGCAAATAACGAAATATTAAAGGCATAAAATTCAGTTTATACTAACCTTTGTTTGTCCACTTTAGTCCAACTCTGAACTCTCGAAGCTGTGACTTAATAAAAACAGTATGCCGATCAATAAAGACAATATGCCGATCGAATATGTTAATAATGTTTACTATGTGATGTTT